ATCACTGCAACTTCCGGCTCCCGGGTTTCAGTGATTCTCCTGCCTCAGCCTCCGGAGTAGCTGGGATTACAGGCACCCGCCACCACGCCTGGCTAATTTTTGTATTTTTAGTAGAGACAGGGTTTTGCCATGTTGGCCTGGTTGGTCTCAAACTCCTGACCTCGTGATCTGCCCACCTCATGGCCATTCTTGCAAGAGTAAGGTGTTATCTCACTGTGGTTTTAATTTGCATTTCCCTGGTGATTTAGTGATGTTGAGCATTTTTTCATGTTTGTTGGCTATTTGTATATATTCTTTCGAAAAATGTCCTTTGCCCACTTTTTGATGGGATTGGTTTTTTCTAACTGATTTGAGTTCCTTATAGATTCTAGATACAAGTCCTTTATCAGATGCACAGTTTGAAAATATTTTATTTTACTCTATGGACTGTTTAGTGATTATTTCTTTTGCTGTGCAGAAGCTTTTTAGTTTAATTAGGTCCCATTTATTTATTTTTGTTTTTGTTGCATTTGGCTAATGTCCAAAAGAGTTTTTCCAATGTTATCTTCTAAAATTTTTGTGGTTTCAGGTCTTAGATTTAAGTCTTTGATTCATCTTGAGTTGATTTTTGTATAAGGTGAGAGATGGGAAGCCAGTTTCATTCTTCTACATGTGGCTAAACCAGTTTTCCCAGCACCATTTATTGAATAAGGTGCCCTTTTCCCAATTTACGTTTTTGTATGCTTTGTCGAAGATCAGTTGACTGTAAGTACTTGGCTTTATTTCTGGGTTCTGTATCTGTTCCATTGGCCTATGTGTCTACATTTTTTTTTTTTTTTTTTTTTTTTTTTTACCAGTACCATGCTGTTTTGGTAACTAGCCTTGCAGTATAATTTGAAGTCTGATAACATGATGCCTCCAGATTTGTTCTTTTTGCTTATTATTACTTTGGCTATTCAGGCGCTTTTTTGGTTCCATATGAATTTTAGAACTTTTTTTTTTAGTTCTGTGAAAAATAGTAATGATATTTTGATGACAATTACACTGAATCTGTAGATTGCTTTGGAAAGTATGAAGACCATTTGTTTATATGAGTTTACCTATTGATTTTAACCATATTAGACATTAGAACTGAAAGCAATTAGTGTTTTTTAAAAACTTATGACAAATATCTTAATTAAAAATATTTTCCAAAATCAAAAAATAAAATGAAATAACTGGTACTGTGTGCAAATCTATTTTCTGTCCATTTTAATAGTAGACAGGAGGAGCTTCAAATCTGCTACTGCATTCAATCTATTGTTATATGTTGTTTTTGTTCATGTGTATGAAGAAAATTTTGTCCAAACTCAACAAGTGGTAGTTTTTTGAAAGGTTAGTTGCAATGTGAAATGTGACTTCGTTACATAACATCAAAAAATCCCATCTGTTAGTACCACCATGGATCTCATCAGTGAAGTCCCGAGTATGGGAGATCTGTCAAACTTAGAATGGCGAATACATATTTTCCAAAATTCAAATTTGTGCTTGAAAGTTTGAAATTTACACCTTGGCAACAAATGTGGATTGTTTTCCTTGAACTGATAGGTTCCCTTCTTGAATTCACAAGAAAGTAAATGCCAAATATCTAAGTCTGAATAATCATAATTTGTCAGTAATTCCTTCAAATAAAAATAGTGTCCCATGAAAAAAGCAGCAAGTTCAGCTAGCAGCTCAATCCCACAAGTGCTTTTCCTTGAGCCAGCTAATGTACTTCAGTATTCAGTAGAAGGATTTTATACATACTTCTTATGTCATCACATAGAACATTTAAAAAGACATACTCAAGAGTTTAGATGTAATAAATGAGGGCTGAATCAGAAGAAAGAAAAAAGGAAAAAAGATAATATTAACAATATTGCTGCTTCGTAAAGGACATTTTCATATGAAATGGTTTTTGTTTCCTATCAGTGCATGGCATGTAGAATATGGTGTCTACTAGTACGGTTTGGAGCCACTATTTTGATTTATGCTTAAGCACTAGCAGTATTAACCACCATTGTTTTGGTACCATCATCGCAAATGTCAGCAGAGTGAAATGGCAAATCACATCTTAGTATTATGAAAATAGTTTCAAAATTGCAGACAGCTGTGAAAAGGCCTCAGGAACCAACCCTGCCCCTCGGGGCCCCACACACTACTACTGACCCATAGTGACCCACGATTTAAGAGCTGACATTCTTTGACTCACTTTCATCAGTCCTTCCTTAATGCACATAGAGCTCTGCCTAGGGAAGTACAGATGAGTTCAGATACAGCTACTTTCCTGATTTTTGTGTTTTTTTTCTTTTTTTTTTGCAGAGATGGAGTTTTGCCATGTTGCCCAGGCTAGTATTGAACTCCTGGGCTCGAGTGATTGCCCACCTCAGCCTCCCAAAGTTCTGGGATTACAGACATGAGCCACTGTGGCTTTCCAGGAAAGAGTTCACAAATAATTGTGAAACAAAAAGAATTAAATCCCTGAGAAGAGGTGCTTCTTAAGAAGAGAAGTTATTTACTGCAGCAATATCTGAAAAAGTTTTCCCTACGTTCCAGACAATTATTTCTCTGAGGCTAAAATAATTCCACATTAAAATAGACAATATATGAAGATGGGTTAGCTCTTCAGCAATTTGGGGGAAATATACATCAATTTAGATTCAAGAAAAAAAATACAGATAAATCTTAGAAGTCAACTGAAAGATAAAGCCCACAGAAGAGATAGAAGAAAATAGAATTGTATAGCATTTTACAGAATTTTGGAGGTTGGAGGATATATTATTAGTTTGCTAGGGCTGACATAGCAAAGTACTACACACTGGGAGGCTTTTCAACAACAGAAATTTATTTTCTCACAGTCCTGGAGTCTAGAAGTCATAGATCAAGGTGCCAGCAGGGAACCAAACCGATCTTCAGAGGCCTCTCTTCTTGGCTTGTAGATCGCCGTCTTCTCCCTGTGTCTTCACATGGTCCTTCCTCTATGTCTATCTGTGTCTTATCTTGTCTTTTTAGAAGGACACCACTCATATTGAATTAGGGCCCACTGAGATTATCTCATTTTAAATTAATCACCTCTTTAAAGACCCTATCTCCAACTATAGTTATAGTCTGAGATACTGAAGGCGAGGACTTTAACATGTGTTTTGAGGGGACACAATTCAGCCCATAACAGAAGGAACCTGATCTCAAAAGGAATAGAAGAAACCACAAAGGAAAAAAGCCGATATGGTGGTACATGCCTGTAGTCTCAGCTATTTGAAGGCTGAGGCTCAAGAAGATTACTTGAGCGCAGCAATCTAGCCTGGGCAAAATAGCAAGGCCCCATCTCTAAAAAACAAACAAACAAACAAAAAACTAACTTTAAAAAAAATGAAAAGTAAAGATAAACATTTCAATATGTCACAACAATGTTTAAATGAAAATAAAAATATAGGACAAAAGTGTTAATATCTTAAAAAATAGTTCATACAAATAATTAAGAAATACTATGATTCTAATAAATAGGCAAAACAAAAACAAAAACAGACAATGCTAGCAGTGCTTATTTTCCATTTAACAAGTGATGTCCACTGTTTAATTAATTGTGTAGAAGGAAAGCAAGAGTTTGTTTTGAAGCTCAAATTTATTTTAAAACAGTGAAATGAGGCTATGATATAGCATCAAAACAATACAAAAAGTTTGCATAATACGATATTTGGAGTTCTTTGATTTTGCATTTAAAAATGCAATTTATTATTTTTAAAGTACATACTATGTTTTGTTTCTAAATGATTAGTAAGGATTTCAAACTACTAATTTTAAGCATTCCTCAACTAATTAATTAGCAGGGTGAGGAATTTTTATTCACAATAAAGAAAATGTCAAGTTAAATTACCACTGTGTGTCCTCTTTTTAAAGATGTTTTAAGGTATCAGAGACATCTTGGTGGTCTTCATAAAACTCAACAGAAGATGATTGCCTCTCAGATGTGACAAAGACCACTTTGGAGACAAATTTGCAGAATTACCATGCACCTCAGTAATTTATAATCTTATGTTATGGTGCTAAAGCAATCATTATAAGTTAAACAACTTATGGCTAAAAATAAAAGCAATTTAAACTGCATTAAAGTTAAAACCATCAACACGCTAGTGGTGGTCAGCAGAATGACTGAGTCATGAGTAAAAACATTAGTTTCCCCTAACACATGGTATAAATTTAGAAATTTTCAAACTCTTTTTTAAACTGAACAAAGTTACAGATACCCATTTTAGGGTTTTTTTTTGGGGGGGGGGCGGGGGGATTCACTTTGTCACCCAGGCTGGAGTGCAGTAGCGTGAACACAGCTCACTGCAGCCTCAACTTCCCGGGCTCAAGTTATCCTCTTACCCCAGCCTCCTGAGTAGCTGGAACCACAGACACACATCACCATGCCTGGCTAATTTTTTTGTATTTTTTGTAGAGACAGTTTCACCATGTTGCCCTTCTGGTCTCAAACTCCTGAACTGAAGTCATCAACCTGCTTCAACCTCCCAAAGTGCTGGGATTATAGGTGTGCACCACAGTGCCCAGCCTGATTTTGGGAGGCTGAGGCAGGAGGATCGCTTGAAGCCAAAAGTTCAAGACTAGCCTGGACAACATAGGGAGACCCATTTCTAAAAATATATTTTAAAAACTTTATTTAAAAAATTTAACAAGACACAGAAAGATAGATTACCACCTTGGATGATATTAACCTGCTGAAATACCTCTATGAGCTCCAGGGACTAGAAACCCCTGATGAAGCATAACCCTGTTTGCCTGAACTATTTATGAAGACCAGAGAAGTTAAATGGGTTGTCCTACACCACAGTCATTAGTGTGGCTTCAGTTCTCTTTAGATATTGTCCATAAGACAATTTATCATCCCATTTACAAAAGCTGCTTTCACTTGGCTTGCACATTTGAAATATAAATATATTGACATATTGGGTAAGATAGTTATCCTAAATTGTATCAAATTTGCTTTTAATAATCACAACATATCATTTTAAAGTTTTTATTGTGCATAAACTCTTTGAAGATATTGTGTACCATTTTTCAAAGTTTTCTCATTATTTCAAGTCTAAGAACCCAAACTTTTGAACAGATTGTGACTTCCATAAAGTCATGGGTACTCTGTAAATTCAATATAGCAGGAACTTACAAAGTACCAAACTTTTCAAACAGTACATCTAAGAAGCAGTTTGACTGTTGCTTTCTTTTCTTTATTTTATCTGTAACTGAGAAAAAAATAAAAATAGCAAAGAGGTAAAAACAGGAGAGATGTCCCAAGGAAAGAAGACTCCTGGGGTTTTGACAATCCTTTAATTAATGTTTTTTTTCTAGAAAGTTGGTTTTGGTTCTGTTTAAACGCTCCCTTCTCTGAATTGCCCCAACAACTTTCAGCTTTGTTTTCCCAAAGGTATCTGTTAAAAGTGAGCAGGGAAAGGACTTGCTGACCCAGAGCTATCTTTATCCTCAAGTGAAGGACTAATTCTGACAGCAATCCCCTCGACTAATCCTCATTTCAACCGTAGGCTACCACATTAATACCTTCTGTCTTAGTGTGAGTTCCCTAAAAGCAAAACCTAACAAGATTTGGATGTGATGACTCATTAAGGGGATGCTCTCTGGAGAAAGGGAGGGAAGGACACTTGAAAAAGCAGAGGAAGAAGCTAAACCAAGATTTCATCTCAACTTGAGTCTGGCATCAGCCTAATCCCTTCAGGAGCTCTGGAGCATGAACTGCACCAAATAGTTGGCCCCACCTCAAGACAAGGGGCCGGCCCTTTCTGCCCCCACCCATCAGTCACTGGCCATGGGAAGGTGGAGGCATCACGTCCAGGGTAAAACTGCTTCTTTTTAGCTGAGGGCAATTCTCCAGGGGAAGTGATTAGCTAGGAACTGGACAGGAGAATATGGGAGACAGGTGCACTGGCCCGGTAGAGGGCATCTGGGCAGGGCATCAAAAACATCAATCACACACACTACACTTTGTCATCACACCTTCTTCTGAAACACCACCTTGAAATGATAAGGAAAAAGATGAAATATTAAAACTATACCAGTTTATACATAGTACATAAAGAAAAAATGCCTGTTAAGAGCTCCACAGTTGTGAGGGGCATGGACCCCCCCCCAAAAAAAAAAGTTTTTTTTTTTTATTCACATCATGTGGATACCATGAGGCTTATCTTCATACTTCTCTGATCTTCAGATTCCAAGGATCGTAGGCTGAATGTCCCCAGCTGAATCTGCCACTTTTTCATTCAGCATTTTTTCCAACCCCAAGGAAGAAAATTAAAAATATTCAGTTCCATAGCTATAAGCAAAAACTTTTCACACTTGGAATCTGGACCATACTATAAAACTATCAGAAATATCTATTATAGAAACTTTGTATCTTTACTATCTTAATATAACATATGGTAACATATAACAATGGAAAAATTCAATATTTTATTCAGTTCTGAGACACAACATAAAGTCTTAAAAATGTTTAAGACAAATACTCTTAGCATCGCACAAAAGTTAATGAAATGTTCTACAATGGTAGCAAAAAAAGTATACAGTTCCTTTCTTAATTTGTTTTAACTCTCAAAAAGTAGAAATTAAGAAGTAACTTTAAAGAGCTTTATGCAGTTCCATTTAACACTTATTTCTGTCTTCATGTCTAGAAAGCTTTTCTGTGTGACAGCAATGATTTTAAAGTAGCATGTATTTAGTTGGTTTTAAGGACCTCTGAAACTCTTTGAGCTATGATCACAATTCGTATTCCTATAAGACTTGACAGCAACTGACTGAAGGGACTCAGGATGCTAAACATAACTCTATGAGAGATTTAAACCTAGCTGGTTAAAAAATGCTTTGAATGTTTTATGGTCTCTGAAGCGACCTGGGAACTTACTGGTCTGTATGCCTTTTCCCAAGAGGCACTGCGGATATTACCAGCATTCAGCTCAATTATGTAATAAGGCATACATAGATACATCACAATCTATTTTATATAGAAAGTGGAATTGGAATCCTTTGATAAGAAAAAAAGATGTCAATCATTGTAAGCAATGATGGCAGGACATGCCTCAAAAGGAACTGAAACACACCTGGGGATGCTTGGCCATGTCTTTCCAGGTACGCCCATAGTCATTGCTCTTTCCTATTTCTTCCCATGAGCAGACCCTCCAAAACCCAGAAGGGAGCTCACGGATGAGATACAAAGTCAGCTGTTGATATCTCATTTAGCACGAAAGCAGCAGAGGCAGAAAATAGACCGTTATAACAAAATGACAACCCTGCATAACCTCCAACTTAAAAGAAAATCACATTATTGAAAAATGACAAATGTAAGTCTAGGATAGAAAGCAAGCAGTCTGTATTTTAGAAAAATCTTTAATGTGTTGTTTTAAATAATTATGTGAAACTTAAATATTTAATGTAATTATATTTTCCATTAACCAATTTTGTTGTTAAACTCTTCCCTCGGGGTTCAATGGTTCTAGGATTATCAGTGACACCTAAAATTCTAAGAATGTCTTACCAAGTCATAGCTGGTTGTAAAATTTCTTCAGTTTCTATTAAAAAAAAAAAAAGATCTCTTCAGAACTCAGAACTTGGACAAGGGAAGGTATGCTACATAGTGAGGATTTTTAATTTTTATTTTGTTGGCAGTTCAGTTCAGTTGGTTTCAACATTTATTGAGCACCTACTATGTACCAGGCACTGTACTAGATGCTGGAGACACCAAGATGAATAAGACATGGTCCCTGTCCCCAAGAAACTGATAGTCTCTTGGAGGCAAACAGGTAGTGCAAAGATGTGGAGTTTAAAATGAATAAAAATTTCAATAATATAGTAATATTGGGCTTTTCAACACAATGGTATGTCATTGTAATGTCAAGGCAGACAAATAAAATGCATTTTCATGTGATAAAACAATAAAACCATTACGAGCTAACTTTTAAAGATTCACATGATAAAGGTAGTTAATACTAAAAATGTACATCATAGTTTTTCAAGTATTTCATACTTAGAAATATTATTGCCCACATTTGTGCTATAGTCAAAGCCAAATCCAGGTTGCCGCATCATTCACATCTCAGCATGCTGGGATTCAGTTTCTCACTAAGTTTATGAATTAGGATGGCTAATTCCTCAGTTGCTTGGCTCTTGTCTTCCAAAAGTTCATAACGAAGGCTGGAGATATCTTGCTTGATTTCTTTTAATTCACCTATAGTATTGATATTAAAAAATAAGTTGCTCTTTGCATGTAGAAAAGAACAAAGAGTGAAATTCTTACAATATCAATGTATTTGCTTCATAAGGTCTCCAAAGTAGCTACTTCAAAGTTTTTTCTTTAAAATATTTAAGAAATATCTGTCTTTAAAGGCATACTGACCTGTGAAAAAAGCTATAAAAATAATCCAGCTATATTTTTTAAGAGTAACACTCAGCTTAAAGTATTGTCCTTTTGTTCACCCACCTTTTAACATAAGGTGATTCTCTGTTAACTAATCTATAGCCAGGATATCTCCTTTCTGACTACAAGGGAGTCCCTTTGTTTCTTTCAAGTGTAAAGATTGACACCTGCATCAAACATTTCCCATTGCTAGGATCAAAGGGAATCCTAGAAAAACTAAATTTTACTAAAAATGAATCAATCTGTCTGACAGGCAAATAATTTTAAGGCAAATATGAAGTAAGGGAAAGAAAGAAAAAAGAGTAGAGAGTGTTTATTAGGGAAGGTAATGGCAATGGACATGAAGACATTAGTTTGTCCAGCATAAAGGATTAATGCATAAGGAAGTAACAAGCAATAGCACAATTGAGGAGTTTAGATATGATACCACTGGCAATATATTCTTGAAGAGAATAGGAAAGTTTGGGCTATAAAAATAAATTGTTCTCATAGTTCAGTTTGGCAATATTTAGAGCATACATGTATTGCAATTAGAAACTGGATTCTCTTCAAGGAGAGGCAGTATTTGGTTAAAAAAGAAAAGAAACACTGGATTCTCTTGCAAGTGACTGTAATGTAGATAAATCACTGACTTTCAAAAGTAAATGTTGGAGCAAGAATTTACTTTGAATCTAAGAAATGATTCTTCAAACCATTGACTTAGCTTTTTATAGTAGAATGGCATTTGAAACACACCTTTGATGATATTTCCTGGTATCTTTAATATGCTTTAAAGTATAATTTCAATATTCTTCTATTATATAATAGAGCCTTTTTATTTGAAAAAAATTCTAACTCTCAGAAATACACACAAAACATTTGAAGAGCCCTTTTGTGGCAAAATAAATAAATAAATAAATAAATAAATAAATAAAGTGCTTCCTTTGGCATATGGTAATATAAAAGGAATAAACTGATCTTATTTGAAATCATGAGGCAGACTTCGGTGGAAGGAGTGGATTCTCACACCATTCAGTATCATAGAGGACCCCCTGCCCCATTTCACCTTCTACTATCCTTTCTTCCTTGTTCCTGACTCATGGGGAGACTACAACCTATGTGTTGTATTAAATATTTAGTCTGCCAATTCAGGAAACACAAGTTACTCAAACTCTTCAGATTTTAATTTCCTCATTAATTAAATGAGGAGGTTATATGACATACTTTCTTAGTAAGAACTTTGTTCAAAACTCCAAATTCCCATTGATTTTCCTCTTTTGTGCAAGGGCTTGGGAAATGCTTCTTGTTTTTTATGCTGTTTTGGCCATACAATTCTTCCCACTTTGTTCCTCCCTCCCCACCCCCCATGGAGGTTATGGTACAACCGATCAGACTTCTGCTTTGTAAACTACAACCTCATTCCAATCCTTTCTCCTGAGACAGTTTGATTAGGTCACCATGATTAGATTTTTGCTAGTTATCAATTATAAATTCACAGGTTTCTTTTCTACATACATATACTGTTAGATTGATTTCAATTTAAAAGGGATTCCTTGTATTAATCAAGTAACGGCTTCAAAGTCTATGAACAATATTATTAAGTTTAGCCCTTTCTTCTTTTATCAGTGTAGATAGATTTAGTGGCATCTCATTGATGTTGGAAGGTACAGTTTCCATTTTTAGGGCAACTTATTTCTCCCTGGTTGATTTCTTTCCAACTCTGGGCCTGTGTTTAGCTCTATCTCCTAGACTTTTGTAAAAAATTTTTATAGTCCACACTGATGCCCTGCCTCAAATATGCCTTTAAAAAATAAGCTTGCTTAAAGTAAGGAGGCAGGGGGAAAGTGAAATTCAAAAGAGAAGCACCAGACAAGAAAAACAGGTTAAAAATGTGTTTCTGAACAACAAAATAGAGGTCTTCCTGAGCACATGAATTCTGTTTGAGTCACTGTTCTTTTATCTGCTTAACTGGAAAAATGTTAACACTAATGTGAACTCACTGAAAATGAAACCAATACTACTAACTACTTTATGTCAGAGGGATTAAAAAATTGCTAGAAAGATGTCGGTCTTTACATTCTAAGAATCAGTTAGGGCACTATGAGTAGAGATAAATTGCCTCTGATTAATATTTTAAATAACTGTTTATTTTAAAAGATGAAGTTTTAAAAATGTAACATAAGATCCTTCTCCCATCTGTGAGGCATCCAAACTATAACCTGGGATTGGATTTTTAAAGTATGCCTCAATATGAAGTTTTCCAGGTTCATTAAGTTAGTTATAAAAGGATGTTTCTCAAGTTGGAGATGCTTACCTTCATTAACTTCATCATTTTCTTTGTCTACTTGTGCTTTCAAAACATACCGCTTTATAAGTCTTTTCATTATCTGCTGTTGGGCAAAAGTAAATGATTAGACCTCCACTGATATACATAAGTGTCCCGAATCCTATTTTCCAAAGAGGCTTACATACCTGTAAAGCAAACAACTTGGGAGAAAAATTTTTGTAACTATGTATAGAAAAATTATGCAGGTTTCAGAACTTAACTCTCTTAATGCCTTCTACTGAGACTTATTGTATAATCCACCAATACATTTTTTGCCTTAGAAATGGAAGAAGCTTTCAAAAAGAAGTTAAGCTTGAAGATTTGAATTCACGGCTTCTCTTTCAACTAATAGTTTCTTTTTGAGTTACATTGACGCTACATTATCACCCATAGACACTACCTTATTTCCCAGTATTTAGAAAAATATATTAATGTATGCTCTCGATACAGAATTTGTAAAATACAGAGAAGAGCAAAATAAATAATGAAATCATTAGCTCACCATCCAATGATAATCACTGTTGTCATTTTGGTGTATGTCCTTCCAATATCTTTTCTTTAAATTTTGTACATATACTAATTACTGTATTATATTTTACATTTTCTAAATGCCATATATTTTGTTACATTGCATGCTTTTCTCTAATATCTATATATAGTGACTATTTTCAGTCTAAATAAATGCTCTTATAGGATAACTGTTTATCCATATGGAAAAAATTAAATTGGAGCCCTATTTCATACCATGAATACAAAAATTAATTCCATGTGCATCTTAAATGTGAAAAATAAAGCTTCTGAATCCTTAAAAGAAAATATTATATAAGACAGTATATTTATAAATTTAGGGTAGACCTGGATTTTTAAAAAAACAAGATTAAAACTTCTGATTACAATAGAAAAGACTGATAAATTCAACTTCATTACAATTTAAAATTTCTGTTTATAGAGATACCATAAAGAAAGTGAAAAGGTAAGTCATAGACTGGGAGAAAATATTGGTAATACTTGTAAGTAAAAATAATTTGGATCCAAATATATAAAGAACTTTAATTCAATAAGAAAAACTCAAATAACCCAATTTTAAAATGGGCAAAAGACAAACGAATGTTTCACAGAAATGGAAATGTGAAGGGTCAACAACTTAAGAAACAATTTCAAACTCTGTTGCAGGGAAATACAAATTATGACTAAAAGGAGACACAATTTTACATCTAATAAAGAGAATGATTAATGAATCTGGTCATGCCAAGTGTTGGAAAGGATATGGATCAATGGGGACTTTTATATTTTACTGGCAAGACTGTAGACAACTTTGAAGACAATTTAGTATTATCTTTTTAGTTTTTAAATTGATTTATATTAAAAAAATTTTAGAGGTGGAGTCTCACTATACTGTACAGGCTTGCCTCAAACTCCTGGGCTCAACGCTGTCCTCCTGCCTCAGCCTCTCAAGCAGCTGGAGCTATAGGCATGAGCCACTGCAGACAGGTGGTATTATCTTTTAAAGTTGAACATTTGCATGCCCTTTCACCTAGAAAGTCCACTTCTCAGTATAAGGTCTAGAGAAGTGTTACAGGTATGAACCAAGAGACATACAACAATGTTTGTAGCAACTCTGTCTGAAATTGCAAAACACTGAAAACAATCTAAACAAATATTAACAAGAATAGACAAACTGTAGTATGTTACAATGTAATGTTATTGTGTTCATTAATGAAATTAATGCACCACAGCCACACACAATAGTGTGGATAAATCTTAGAAGCATAATGTTGAATGAAAAATTCCAGTTGCAGAAGACCACAAAGTATGAAGCTATTCTTATGAAGCTCAATAACAAGTAAACCTATAAAATATATTTTTAGGAATATTGACACATATAATAAATTATATTTGAAAAGAAAATCAAAGCAAGAAGAGGAGAAACCCAACTTCAAGATAGGGATTAACTGTTAGGTGAAGGCAGAGGAGTAGGTAGGGAGGTGCATATAAGTAGAGGCAATGGATGGATAATGTTATCATTGTCAGGTCGGTGGTGGTTTCATAGGTTTGAATGTAATTATGCTTCATAATTTATTTTGCATTATACATATTCTTATGCATGCAACAAATATTGTATATAAAATATAACAAAGGAAAGGGAAAAAGACCTTAACTAAGATGCAGGCATAGCGAGAGTATAAAATATATACTTCAATTTTAAGAAAGTAGAAATTACACCAAGGTCAAGTAAAAGAGAAGAATCCAGGAAGATTCAAAATGTTATGCAGAGAATAACAAGAAACTGAGAAGGCCCGTGCTACTGAAAAGGAAAAGCTCATTTTACCAGTCACTGTAAGATATAAAACCTGTTGAATTTTGTAGAATCTAGATCCCAAGACAGACTCACAGCTGGATGGATCTTAAACTGGATTGATTCATTCATTCGGCAAATATTTATTGAAAGCCAGTTCTGTGGCAGGTACTGAACTAGGTGCTAGGAATACAACAGTGAACACAGTCCCCAGTCCAGTGAAACTTCATATTGATATGGAACAATTCACTATAATGGGTGAACAAATCAGGGATCTGGTTAAATTTAGGGGACAGTGAAGACAGATTCCTATAAAATGAAAATACAAAGTTATGTGTATCAGTTAAAAGCAGCTTGAAAGGCAGTAATACAAATTGATGGAAAAGAAATGACTATTTAACAATTAGTGCTGAGACAAGTTGAGCCTCTGCACAAGGCAAGAAGTTACCTGAGGTTAGACAGAAATCAGTTTCCCCATATATGACACTATCTAGTAATAGTCCATCCCTTTGTTCATGTTGGAAAGATAATTTGTGAGAATTCTAAAATGATCTGCAGCTCAGAGAAGGAGACAAAGATTGGCCATCCCCATTCTATTAGGAAGCTTGTCTAGTAAACCCAAGACAGTATTGTGTAATAGGCAACAAAGACTCTTGAGGCCTCTCTCCCCCTATTGCAATAGCTCCTGAATAAAATCTGTTTTTACCACTTTAGCTACTGTCTAACTCTGGTTTTCTTTAACACAGTTGAGATTGTGAGCTGCAAGAACAAATCATGTAGATCTGGAACCTTGGTATCTTAATCTGCATAATGGAAATGCTAGACTGTGTCTTGGAAAAGAGACAGTACATGTAAATTACACAGTAGGTCCTTGAATAATATAACTATTATTCTCTCATTATAATCTAAGCTTCTGTAAAGCAAATCTCGATAAATCCATCTTAATGATGGTATCATAAGCAAGGACCATGAAACTCATATGTAACAAGTAAAAGTACCATTTTAAATACTACCTTTAACTAAATTTCCAACTGATTCTTTAATTAAAGCTAGTACTAAAAATTAAACTACCAATAACAGATTCATCTTTTTTCCCTCTTGCTCAAATTGCTAACTAACTAACACAATAGAAGTCGACAGATTAACTTCCACATTCCACAAACCTCCAGAAATTATACAGCTTTCTTGGTACATGCCTGTGAGTCACTCTTTAAGGAAGACATTCTAACTCTATAAAGACTATTGATGTTCTCTGTACAGGGTATGGAAATCCTAAACAGAGGTTCCAAAACAGAAATTCAGTGGTAACCAGGTAAAGATCCCAGGCGGTACTTACTTCAAACAGTCTTTCCTGCAAACAAACCCAATTTCATTTTTCAACCCTCCATTAAGACTGGGAGAAGAAATAAGATGTGGGTGGTTGGGTAGCTGTGAGGTGGTTAGATATCTTCCTTCCCAAAAGGAGTGAAAGCTTTTCTTCTCACTTGGTATTTTTCACTGATTCAAATTCAACTAATAATTGTTAAGCACTCTATCAGGTACTTTTACATTCATTCTCTCATTTAATTCTACAGAGAAGCCAAATTTGACTGTCATTAGTAGGTTTTGTACTATGAATTTTAACAATCTAAAAAGTGTGAATGAAGGGTAATAAGACTGATGTAGACAAAGAGAAAAAAACTCAGAAGTATAGAGTAAAATTTTAGACAGGAAAAGGACCTTAGGAATCATTGTTTTTCATGTTTTTATACCACTCATGAAACTTTGTGAAAGATTACCATTACACAGCTTCTGTATAAACTTCTGTGATTGAGGGCCTGCTATTTTTTCAGACAGCTGGTTTAATTTATTTTTGGACAATTATAGCTGTTAGAAAACAACTCCTTTGTATTGAAGCCAAAATAACTATCAGTCCAAGTTCTGTTCTTTGGGGCAACAGAGAATAAATTTGTTTTTCCTTCTACTTGATTGACTTTTACCTGCTACTTTTTTCTGCGTTTTTTTTTTTTTTTTTTTTGAAGAGGGACCTGCAAACCTATTGATTGACTTTAAAATATCCTCTCTTCTAGGTTTCCCAGTTCTGTTGACCTAAAGAAAAAATCTGAGGCAAACTAAATATATAAGTAGAGAGTTTATTTGGGCCAAGTTTAAGGACTGCAACCTGGGGAGCACAGATTCAAGTTGCCCTGGATATGTGCTCCAATTAGCAGCAAGTACTAGTGGGTTTTTAAATGTAAAGAAGAGGCAGTTCCTAAGTTGTTTATCAAGGATTTGAAATAACATAAGCTTTTGAATGGCTATACATTGTTCTTTGCATCACAAATTCCAGGAACATGAAGATAACAGGTGAGGCTGCAAGTCAGGAACAAATGAATTTAGACAACTGCCCTCAGGCATGGGTAGAGGTAGGGGACTGTGACTGAAAGTCCCATACTCATGTTCTCTGGGCCTGCATACCTCACATAGTTCAGACCGCTCTGAGCTATTTTTGTTTTCTCTATTCCCAAACCATTTTATTTATATTACATTTCATCTATATTTATTTCTATTTCATATATAGGCATAACTATACCACATAGCATGTAGTGTTATGTGAGTATTTGTCTACTTATTCTTTCCTTTCCTTCCTCCTAACCTCAACACTGCCATTCTACTTCAATGGAGAGATTCTTGAAGCCATGACCTATATCTTTGTATCTGTATAACCTAACATCGTATAACAGGGGGTTTCCTGAATGTGCCTGGAAGCTCACTGTGAGTGGAGTTCA